GTGGCGGGGATTTTGGCAAAATCTTGGCATCTGCTACTCACAGTCACCACTTGTCTCTAGAGTATGCCGGTCCTGGGCGATGCCCCGTCACACAGTGTGCCCTTTGCTACTGGCTGAAACCACTCCAGGGTTTTCCTGACCACTTTCCTGGGGAGGAGACTGAGCCTGGAGAAGGGAAGTGACCCGCACAGGTTCACCTGAGGTCAGGGCCCAATTTCAGTCCGCGTCCGCTTGACCAGGACGTCCGAGGTCCTAGCCAGGCTCTACCTGGATGGACTGTTTTGTTTTTTTTAGATTTTATTTAATTATTTGGTAGAAAGAGAGAGAGAGCAAGCAGGAGTGGGGGGGTAGGAGCAGAGGGAGAAGCAAACTCCCCGCTGAGCAGGGAACTTGATGTGGGGCTCCATCCCAGGACCCTGGGATTGTGACCTGAGCTGAAGGCAGATGCCTAATGACTGACCCACTCAGGTGCCCTGGATTGTTTTTTTTTTTTTCAAAGCAAAGTAGGAAATAAAGTGGGGGAGGGGAGATGAGGTGAGGGGAGGCATGGCCAGAGCCATTTACTCAGTAACTTCTGGGTACCTGCCAGATGAGGAGGATAGGTGTCAAGAGTAAAATACACATGGCCCTGGCACTGAGTTCCTTGCATGGTCCTTGTAGGACAGAGGTAGTGGCAAGGAAAAAAAAAGCATTGCAAAGATTGGGCAGTCGGCCTGATGATTTGGGGAGTGGGGAGGAAAGCTTCCTAAAGGAGATACACAAGTTGGGTTTTGAAGGATGTATAGGAGTTTGTTATAGTGGAAAGACACTGTAGGGAGAGCATGTAGCAGGAGGTATCCCAAAGAAGCATTCATTTGACCAGCAGCTAGGGAGTGCCTTGAAAGCAGGAACCAACGGCCCTCCCGAATCTCCAGTGCCTTGAGCAATGCCTGACCCATGTGTGGTAAATGCTCCTTTGAGTGAATGCCTGAGTTGGCCCACTGGGGAATAGGGTGGGAGAAGTTGTAGGAGAAACAGACAGGGCTCAGATGTGGAAAACCTCAGGAGACACAGCAAGGATCACCTTTTGAAGGTGATAGGGAACCATCTGTGGTTGTGTTACCCAAAGGAGAGGGGACAATCTGATCTGTCCCATCTCTTAACACAAATAATTAAATCTGTGACTTTTCCTCTGAGCAGGAAAAAATCTTACTGCTTTTAAACACATATGGAAAGTTTTCCCGGTTCCCTCATGATAAAGGGAAAAGGAATTTAAGCTATAGTGAGCTATTTTCCACTACCATGTCTGTAGAGATCAAAAAGCTTGTAAAACATGGTGTTCTGGAAGGAGTCATCCTTGTACCTTGTTTGGTGGAGTATGAACTGATAACCACCGTGAAGGGCAGTGTTGGTCTCAGTTTTAGATGTATGCACCTTTTGTACCAGCTGGTTCACTTCTAGAAAGTCATCTTTTAACTATGTTTGCCTGTGTGTGAAATGAGGCATTTCCCGGGTTATTAGTTCATTGCTGCGTGGTTCGTCTGTTAGAACAACCCGGTGCCCTTGTCAGCAGGAGGCTGGTCAGATAAAGTCAGGTCCATCATACAGTGAATACCAAGTACCTGAAATAAAGAATGAGGAAACCCTTCCCTTTGTGGTGTGGGATGACCTTTAAGACCTGTTATTAAGAGAAAAAAGCTGGGTGCCTGGCTGGCTCAGTCGATAGAGCGAGTGATTCTTGATCTTAGGGTTGTGAGTTTGGGCCCCCCCCCACTTGGTGTAGAGATTATGTAAATAAATAAACGGAAAAAAAAAAAAAACCCGAGAAAAAGCAAGGTGTAGAACAGTGTGAGGAGTATGCTTCCTTCCATTTGAGAATAGAAAATAGGTATTTTTGTTAAAATATATACACATAAATTATTTTCTAGAAGGACACATGAGAAACCAGTAATGGGTGCTGCTGGAGACAGGGCCCTGGGGGGTTAGGGCCTGGGATGGGAAGATGGCTTGTCCCTTTTATCTTTGTTTGAAAGAAAATACCATTAAGGTCTCAAGAATAAAACAGCTGTTACTGAAAAAATCGGTTTCTAATACTGTGTTTAAAAAAAAAAAAAAGGCAAGGTACAGCACAGACTATGTATTATACTTTTTGGGAAAACAAAATTGATACACTTTATCTGGATGATATTTGGAAGAGCACACAAGATGTTAACAGTAGTTTTGCCTGTGGGGATGGGATGCGGGGCTCAAAATTCAGAGGGAGACTTATTTTTTACCGTATGTATGCCATTTTGTGTAGTTTGAAAAAATTTTAACACATAAAATGTGTGACCTGTTAAAAGTAAATTAATAGAAACATGGATGTATGAGTGCCTGGGGGGTCGGGTACGTGGGTGGGTAGATGGATGGATTATTTGGTGCATAGGTGGATAGATGGATGGGTGAGTTGGTGCATGGGTACGTAGATGGATGGGTGAGTTGGTTCATAGATGGGTAGATATTGGGTGGGTAGATGCATGTGTGGGAAGAGATGGGTGGATAGATAGATGGGTAGATGGATGGATGAGTTGGTGCATGGGTCGGTAGACGGATGGGTTGGTGTGTGGGTGGGTAGATGGATGGGTTGGTGTGTGGGTGGGTAGGTGGATGGTTGGGTTGGTGTGTGGGTCGGTAGATGGATGGGTTGGTGCATGGATGGGTAGGTGGATGGATGGGTTGGTGCGTGGATGGGTAGGTAGATGGATGGGTTGGTGTGTGGGTCAGTAGATGGATGGGTTGGTGCACGGGTGGGTAGATGGATGGGTTGGTGCATGGGTTGGTAGATGGATGGGTTGGTGCGTGGGTGGGTAGGTGGGTGGATGAGTTGATGCATGGATGGGTAGATACGTGAGTGGTGCATGGGTGGGTAGATACACAGATGCATAGATGCATGGGAAGAGAGTGGGTGGTAGATAGATGTGTAGGTGGATGGATGGGTGGGTGGATGTGTGGGCAGGTAGATACATGTCTATGGATGCACGTATGGATGTCCAGATAAGTGAGATAACTTTGGCTGTCGTCGGGGAGGACTGAATGGGGCCAGGAGGTCTGGAAACAGGGAATGGTTAGGAAATTATTGTCATAGTCCAGGCAAGGAATGATTGGGTCAAGCATCAAGTTATAGAAATGTGTCACGCACGAACCAAGCTTCTGGTATACATAACTGCATGTATTAAGGCCCAGCATTGTTTTTACTAGAAGCGCAAATTCCTTTGGAATGAGATTTTTCTGGCAGCTGCTCAGAAACGGTTCTGTATATAATAACCACCAACAGTTTAATCCCCTTTTCCACCATCACTTTAAGAATTAGAAGTGATGCGGAATCAGTTAAAATAATCACTCTTTGATATAAATCACACTTAAACTCTTATTCACAAGACTGTCTTCCAAATGCCCAAATCCACAGAGGCATGACCTTTGTCCTTTTTTAGGGTTTCTTTGTGTCTAGAAGTTTCCCACCTAATCCCTCTGTGTGCGTTGACCTTTTTAAGTTTATTTTTCAATGATTTCTTGTTCTTGGTTCTGGAGAAATAACTGTTTATATCACAGAATAATTACATCTCTGAAGAACCAGTTTGGGTACCCGGTAAAGACCCACTCACTCACTCTTTTTTAAAGTCAGATCCTTTTTTTGTTTGTTTTTTGTTTTTAAAGATTTTATTTATTTATTTGACAGATCATAAGTAGGCAGAGAGGCAGGCAGAGAGAGAGGAGGAAGCAGGCTCCCTGCTGAGCAGAGAGCCCAACTCAGGGCTTGATCCCAGGACGCTGGGATCATGACCTGAGCTGAAGGCAGAGGCTTTAACTCACTGAGCCACCCAGGCGCCCAAAGTCAGATCCTTTCTTTTCTAACCATCTTTTTTTTTTTTTTTTTTTAAAGATTTTATTTACTTATTTGAGGGAGAATGAGTGAGAGAGAGCATGAGAGAAGAGAAGGTCAGAGGGAGAAGCAGACTCCCCAAGGAGCTGGGAGCCGGATGCGGGACTCGATCCTGGAAGTCCGGGATCATGACCTGAGCTGAAGGCAGTTGTTCAACCAACTGAGCCACCCAGGCGCCCTTTTCTAACCATCTTAATAACCATTTTGAAGTGTACCCTCCAAGAGTGTTAAGTATATTCACATGGTTGTGCATAACTAGGTCTCTTTTCTGAGAAGCTCAGAGCTTGTATCTTGATCAGATTATCAGATGTGTTTTTTAAGTGAAATGATCTTTTTGTTCCATTACCTTTTCTTCAATGGTCTTGAATGTACCTTGAACGCTTAATACAAAACCATAAGGTTCCGGGTTCCTTGGAGTTCCTTGGTGGTCTCACTTACTGATCGTGGGGAGGCTGCAGGGACCAGACATAGCTGGAGTTTTCTGGAGGGCGCACTGTCCTGTGGTGGAGAGAAAATGCTAGGAGGGAGGTAGGGGGCCTGGGGCCTGAGGCCAGCTGGAGCACACGGGGCCTGTCCTGAGATGGGCTGTTCCCCAGCTCCTGCTGATGGTTGTGAGGCGGGAACTTGGGCCTGGTGCTGTCAGATTTTTCTATTTAAAGATTTTATGCATTTATTTGTCAGAGAGAGAGCACAAGCAGGGCAAGGGGCAGGCAGAGGGAGAAGCAGGCTTCCCACTGAGCAGGGAGCCCCATGCAGGGCTCGATCCCAGGATTCTGGGATCGTGACCTGAGCCAAAGGTAGATGCGTAACTGACTGAGCCATGCAGACCCCCAGGCTCCCTCTTTTGTATGACGCTGGAACTTGCCCCAGTTCCCCGGACCTGTGTGTTCTCTGAGACAGTACCTGCCTTCATGCCTTATTTTTGTTTCACGGTCTTTCTGGCTGCTGATCTCTCCAGTTTACATGTTCTTCCTAAGAGGCCCTTGGGTGTAGGGTCTTCTCTATTTTCTTAAACCCCATCGTATTGTGGTTTTGATGTCCACATGGACGCCTGTCCCTCCTTGGTGCCACCTGTTGACCCTGAACCTGTTTCTGTCCTCAGGCGTGGGATGTCACGTGGAACACCAGCAACCCTGACTTCACCAAGTGCTTTCAGAACACGTTCCTCGTGTGGGTGCCTTGCTCCTACCTCTGGGTCTGCTTCCCCTTCTACTTCCTCTATCTCTCACGCCATGACCGGGGCTACATTCAGATGACCTATCTCAACAAAACCAAAACTGTAAGTCACTTGGGATTTCATTGTGGTTGGGGAGGTGGGGTGTGCTTGGGTTGGGGACTGGTGGTTGGTGAAGACTGATGTAGGTCTTCTGCTTAACCAAGTTCCTTTTTCTAGAAGGCAGACTTTTGACGAGGCTCTGGGTTCAGACGTGGGTGCAGACGTGGGCTCTGCCTCTTGCTAGCTGTATGACCTTGAGCACGTGTTCTGACTTCCCTGAGCCCCTCCTTCCCTATCATTACAGTGAACATGAGAGGCTCGACCTCGAGATTATCAGGAAATAATTGGGAGGTCTTCCTATCTGAGCTGAGGGTTTCTTTTTTATTTCCAAAAAAAACCCCACAAAACAACAACAACAACAAAAAAAACGGTTTACCTTGAAACCATTTCAAACTTCTGGAAAGAGTGTCAAGGAAGATCCCAGGAACTCCCCCCACCAGCCCTGAATACCCATTATTCACAGTCACCAAATTCTAACATTTTGCCACACTTTTTTGCGATCGGCTCTTCCTCTCTCCATACACATATATGATTTATTTTTTCAGAATCATTTGAGAACCGGTAGCGTCTGTGCTATCTTTACTCGGTTTTTCCAGCATGTCTTTTCTCAAAACAGGGACATTCTCTTACATCATGACAGTACGGTTACTAAATTCAGGCAATTTAACATGGACACAATACTTTTAAAAAAATCTGTCCGTATTCTGCAATTTTGTCCCTTGTTCCAGTCCTGTCCTTTCTTAGTACGGCTCCCCCAAGCCCATTCAAGACCCAGTCTAGATTCATGCAGTGTTTTTGTTTTGTTTTTTTTTTTTTTTAAAGATTTTTATTTATTTATTAGAGAGAGAGCAAGAGGGAGAGAGAATCTGAAGCAGACTTCACGCTGAGTGCAGAGCCCAGCGTGGGGCTCGATCTCTCCACCCTGAGATCATGACCTGAGCCAAAACCAAGAGTTGGATACTTAACAGACGGAGCCACGCAGGCGCCCCTCATATGGCGCTTTTAGTCATGGTGCCTCTTGTGTTTTTCTTTCATCTGGAAGAATACCTCACCTTCCTTTGGCACTGACCTATTGAAAGAGCCTGGGCCAGTTCTAGACTGAGTTCCTCAGTTTGGGTCTGCGTGATGTCTCATGCCATGTCCAGCTGGAAAACCATGGAAGCGGAGTTGTGTCCCTCGGGGGTGTTACAGCTGGGGGGGGTGGTGTTCATCCACTCCGGATTGAGGGGGTTCATTTTGATCGCTGGTCAGAGTGTTGCCTGGTTTCTCCAGTTGTACAGGGACCGTGTCTCCCCTTCGAGAATAAACATTCTCCGGGAAGACATGTGGAGTGCAGTCCCATGTCATGTTCCTCATTCCACTTTCTCTTCTCCACTTAGCATGTATCTCACTTCATTTGTACAGCCACGTTTCCCAAGACTTAGTTCCCCCCAAACAGGAAAACTTGAATGTGTTTTTACTGAAACTGCCCCTTTGCCTACAGTACCCCCATCCAGATGTGTCTCATTCATACCACACAAAATGCTAATGATTTCTCTATGGTGTCTAGATCTAATGTCTTCCTCTCAGACCTTTGGGAGCACTTTGTACTTTTTTGGCAGAGCAACATCTCCCTTTAAAATGTAGAACAGATTTTGCAAAGAAACCAACAAAAAGCTTTGCTCAAAAAGCCTCCAGTAGCTTCTCATCATGGGGAATAAAATCCTTACCATGGCCCAGGCTGATCTAGCCCCAGGCTCCTCCCCCGCCATCTCCCACACTCAGCGCTTATTCCACAGCAACCATAAACCTGTCACACATGTTCTCTACCTCAGGGCCTTTGCACTTGTTGATCCTCAGAACTGATTTGTTCTTTCCCTCAAATATCCACATTTGGCTCCTTAGCTGTATGTCACCTGATTGCATAGGGCCCTCCCTGACCACCCCGTGTTACCTGTTGTCTTTTTTCTCCTGGTACTTATCACCCTCTGGTATCATATTATATATTTTTCAGTTTGTTTCTTGCCCATTTTTTCCCCATTAGAATTTCCGCTCCATGAAGGCAGGGACCTTTGTCAGTTTTGTTCATTGTTGTATCCTTCGCACTTTGGAAACAAGGTGGCCCACAGTGGGTCCCCAGTGACTGTTGTGGAATGAGTGCTTGTAGTGTGAGGTGCCTTAGGCGGGTGTGCGGGGTGGCCGATGGAGGTAAGCTGTAGACTGGGCTCTTGAATTTTCTGGGGATGGGAAGAACAGCGACCAAATAGTCACACCCTAGGTGCGAGAGGGCATCATACACTGGTTATAGACTTGCGTGTGATGACCCAGAGGGTGGCTCCCCCTGCCTAGGCCTTGTCCATGCTCCAGAGGCCGTGTGCTGTATCTAAGGACCGCAGCTGATAGTTTAGAGGTTGGCTCAAGGCTGAGCTTTTTGCAGGGGGGCTGGGGAAAGTTCCAGTGTCTTCTGTTGTAAGACATATGTATCCTTCTCTTCCAGGCCTTGGGATTTTTGCTGTGGATTGTCTGCTGGGCAGACCTCTTCTACTCTTTCTGGGAAAGAAGTTGGGGCAAATTCCTGGCCCCAGTGTTTCTGGTCAGCCCAACCCTCTTGGGCATCACTATGGTAAGTCGGAGCTAGCTATCTGCCAGGCACTGTGGAGGCCAAAACTAGCAGCCAGAGTGTAGAAATTAGAAGATCTCACAATAAAAATCCAAAAATCTGATTTCTCTTGAAAAAGCCAAAGATGGCAACACCAGCCCCGTAGTTTTCTGGGGCAACGATCAGCCGGAGCTGAGAGACGAGTGTAGCCTTGAAGGGGGCCATGTGCTGTGCACTTGGCCCCAGTCCTCACTGTGCCCTGTTGCCTTCCTTGCCCCTGGGGCTGAAAGGCGGCTGCCATCTTTGGTTGTGCCTGCTGTGTTCTGTTCTTGTACTGGCTAGCTTGGCTGTTTATGTTAATTGTCTGGGACCTAATGGGCCCTTGAATTTTCAGCTTCTGGCTTACGGGGTGGGATGCCAAGCGGAATAGGAAAGTACCCTGCCCCACGGGGGTCCATTATTTCATGGGAAACAAAGCCAGAGTAACTGCTTTCTTATAAGCTGACACATTTTAAGTCCTTCATATGTGCCTGGCACCATTTTTGGTGGTTTACATTTCCTGAAATTAGAAATTAGAATTCATCTGTTCTTAGAATAATCTTGTCCCCCTTTGGCAGGGGAGAAGACGAAGGCACAGAGACGTTAAATGTCTGTAGGGTCACACAGCTGAGCAGGGGGTGGTCCCTGTAGAGGCCCTTGTGCCACAGTGATGTGCTCTGAATTCACGGCCCTTCCTGCTTATGGACTCCATACCTGGGTCGTCGGAGGCGCCTGGAAGGTTCTTGGTGAGCCCAGGCCTTGTGCGTTTGAGAATGAGGAGGGAAGCAGGTTCGGGGCAGGATGTTTTGAGCTGGGAGAGCAGTGCATCCAAGGAAGGGCTAGAGGCTGGGGTTGAAGGAGTGGCCGTCTGTGAAGCAGGAATGTGGACTGGGACTTCAGGGTGTGGACAGCAGAGCTGACGGAGATGGGAAGGGAGAGGCGAGCTGGAGCCAGATTGTGGAGGGCTGTGCATCTTTTCATTTTTATTTATTTTGAAGATTTTTTTTTAAAGATTTTATTTATTTATTTGACACAGAGATCACAAGTAGGGAGAGAGGCAGGCAGAGAGAGAGAGGGAAGTAGGCTCCCTGCTGAGCAGAGAACCCGATGCGGGGCTCGAACCCAGGACCCTGGGATCATGACCTGAGCCAAAGACAGAGGCTTTAACCCACTGAGCCACCCAGGCGCTCCAAAGATTTTTTTTCTTAAAGATTTTGTTTATTTATTTGACAGAGAGAAAACACAAGCAGGCAGAGAGGCAGGCAGAAAGAGGAAGCAGGCTCCCTGCTGAGAGCCCGATGTGGGGCTTGATCCCAGGACCCTGAGATCATGACCTGAGCTGAAGGCAGAGGCTTAACCCACTGAGCCACCCAGGTGCCCCTATTTTGAAGATTTTATTTGAGAGAGAGAGAACACAAGCAGCGGGAGTGGCAGGCAGGGGGAGAAGCAGGCTCTCCGCTGAGCAGGGAGCCCAATCCAGGGGACTCGATCCTAGGACCCCGGGATCATTACCTGAGCTGAAGGCAGTTGCTTAACCGACTGAGTCCCCCCAGGCACCCTGTGGATGGTGAATCTTTATTGCACTCGTTAATAGTCCTGATCCCTTTACATATTAACTCAGGGATTTTTGCTCATTATTCCTGCGTTCATAGATAAGCACGTTGAAGCACTGAGAAGTGGAGGAACTGACCCAAGGTCACACAGCCAGTTTGTGGTAGAACCGGGTTCACACCCCAGTGCCTGCTCCACCGTTGGTGGGGTTCTTTGCCAATACCTGGCTCTCCCCGTGGGCTTTGTTCACCTCTGTGTCCCCATAGCTGGGCACCATGTCTAGCGTGCCATAAGCACTCCATAAATATGTCAAGGGTGTTAGGAAATGGAGAGCTTGACTTTCCTGGTCTGAACGTTTGGGCAAGAAGGTGTAAAGGTAAACTAGTTTTGGCTGGAGTGGTTCATACTCCCCAATTTTTCCTGTTCCTGGTCTTCTGATTCTTTATTGACAAGTATGTCTGTGATGCTGGGTTCACAGGTGTGATGGGCTGAGGGTCACTGGGCTTTATGCTGTTTGAGGCTCTGAGCTGGCTAAGAGGTGACCTGGTCTGTGAGATCCTCAGAATCTCTCTTCCCCTGTGGGCTCCATGACAGAGTAAAGGAACAGCCCTTCTGTTCATGCTACAGTGAGAGTCTATGTACATCCCTGGGGGCAGGAGTATGGGATGAGAGCAGTCCACAGATATATTTGTATTTTTACTGTATGCCAGGAATTGGAGATAGGACAGACACAGTCCCTGTCCTCGTGGAGTCTATGCCTGGTTGTGCAAACAGATACTCAACGAATGATTCCCCCAAAATGCACAAAGTGTTTGCTCTTGTGCGAAGTGTCATAGGGGTGAAGTTTGGCGAATGTGTTTGGTCTGGGGGCTAGGGAAGAAGGGGTGATGGAGCTGAGGCTGAGCGGTGAGCAAGATGTTAAAAAGTTGAAGAGGCTGGGGGCAGAGTACTGTCCAGTTGGCGAGAAGAGCATGTGCAGAAGTCCTGGGGTCAGAGAAATGAAGGGGTTGGTCTGTGTGGCTGAGGGAGAGGGATTAAGGAGAAGTGGGGAGTGAGGATGGCAAGAAGGGCAGAGGGCTGACCCCGCAGGACCTGGAGCTTCAGGGTGAGTGGGTTTTGTTTTGTTTTGCATTCCCAAACTTGGGTTCTAAAGCTTTTTTTTGTGCCATGGGCCCTTTTCTCCTTTGCCAGTCAGGTCTGAGGATTATGTTCCTCACATAAATACAAAGGCTCACAAGAAGATGAATCACACACACATATCATATGTGAAGATTTTGTGATTGCGTCTGTGTTTTTACTTGAGGCATAATTTAAATATAGTAAAATTCACTTTTTTAACAAAATGAAAGTTCATGAGTTGTGATAAACCCACATTGCCATGTAACTACCAGCTCCTCGGTTGGTTGAGATCTAGGACTGCCCCATCGCCCTAAAAATGTTCCCTCTGGCTTGCCCCTGCTTTGTGGTCAGCCCCTCCCTCCACACCCCCGTGCCCTGGCAACCGCGGGCGTGTTCTCTGCCCCTATCACTTTGCCTTTTCCAGAATGTCACGTGAACGCACTGTGCTGGCTGGGGCTGTGTGTGGCTGACTTCTCAGACCGGCAGTTCAGCCGCCTTGCGAGTGTCCAAGTTTTTAAGTTGCTCCGTCTGTTTGATGGTGTGGCTTTGCCCCATGTCGTTTTCCCATCGTCCAGTTGCAGGGCCCTGGGTTTGGGAGACGAACTGTACTTAAACACAGTTAGCAAAAGATTAAAAAAACAAAGTAAAAATATACATACATTTCGTATGAAGACCTACGAGCGGGTAGGCTGCCCCTGTAATTTTCAAGTCGTGATGATCACATGCGATCGTGGGAGAGAGCTTCAGCTACGTGTTTGCAGGCACGATTTCTAGTGACAGAGCCCCAGGTCCTGCTCATGCCGTGCGGTGTGTTGCCTCCACTCAGTGACCGGCCGCGCTGATTTGCGGGAACGTGAAGATGTGATTGTTTTTCCGTCCAAGTTCATGGACCTCTGGGTTCTAGCTGCAGCCTGTCCTTGACCCCAGGTTAAAACCCCGAATCCTAAAAGGGAGAAGTTTGGAGCAAGGGTGTGGCATGCCTGGCTCTGTGCATTGAAAAGCCGAGTGTGGCCTCTGAGTGGAGAGTGGATTGGATTGTTGGGGCTGTGGGGGGCCCATAGGGTCACCCAGTATGAGGGGAGGGGGCCGGGGCCAGGGGGAGGAGTGGGTGAACTGAGGACCAGCCCTGGTGGCAGAGCCAGTGTGAGTTGCTGATGGATTAAATGTGGCGAGGGAGGGAGATGGGGGGCCCCCCAAGGAGGATGAATGAGGACAGACAGACGGATGTGCTTCTGGGGAGTAAAGGCAGGTGTCATGGGTGACCTTTAGCTCCTCAGAAGCCTGGTTCATGACTGGCTTGGGGGATGGGCCTCGGGAGGCCAGCTCTGCTTCTCGGGGGAATGACTGTGGCCTTTCTCCTTCTTTTGAGAAAAAGAGGTCTTACCGCTTATTTTCTCTCCCTGATCGTTAAGTCATCTGCGACATGGAGTAATAGCGTCAGGTATCAGGAATGAAATAAAACCCCAGCCTCCCCCGCCTGCTGTCATTCTAACAAAGTCCCCTGCAGATGAGATGTATAGATGGAGGCAGATGACGAAACCTTCATCCCCTTAGGAAGGAGCGCAGTCCTCACTGTTCCCCGAGGGAGGAGAATTAGTCTGTCAGGCCTGGGAATTCAACATAGGTCTGTCCACCTGTAAAGGAAGGGTCGGCCCACTGCCCGTTTTTAAAATAAAGTTTTATGGCCACTCAGCAGTGCCCATTCATTCTGGAAAAAGTGTACCTCTCTCTTGTAAACTGAGCTGCTCCCCGACGTCGTCGTCCTATCCCGGATCTACACACGGTGTCCCGAGATTCCCGCCGCTGTCACGTGAGGTGCTGTGGTCCTCTCTCTCTCACAGGTGAGGCAGCGGAGGCTCCGAGGACATCAGTGGCTTTTCCAGGGTCCCCAGCAAGGCGAGAGCAAGCCTGGCACTGGAGCCGGGTCCTTGCCGGCCTGTTTTTTGGCACGACTGAGCTGAGGGCAGCCGTACTCCAGGACTGCCGTGTGCCGGGACGGTGGGGTCCTGAGCCCTGGTCTTCTGACAACTCCCTTGCATGCTTCTCTCTCGCAGCTGCTTGCTACCTTTTTAATTCAACTCGAGAGAAGAAAAGGAGTCCAGTCCTCGGGGATCATGCTAACTTTCTGGGTTGTAGCCCTACTGTGTGCCCTTGCCATCTTCAGATCCAAAATCATGGCTGCCTTAAAAGAGGTAAGTGGTTGGGGCGCCTGGGTGGCTCAGTGGGTTAAAGCCTCTGCCTTCGGCTCAGGTCATGATCCCAGGGTCCTGGGATCGAGCCTCACTTCAGGCTCTCTGCTCAGTGGGGAGCCTGCTTCCTGCTTCCCTTCCTCTCTCTCTGCCTGCCTCTCTGCCTATTTGTGATCTCTCTCTGTCAAATAAATAAATAAAATCTTTAAAAAAAAAAAAAAAAGAGGTAAGTGGTGGCCTTATTCCACATCTTCCTGCAGCGGCCCCTTGGAAGAGATGTTTGCTCCTTCTAGCTTAGGTGGAAATCACATGTTGCCATGGGAACCAGAGGATGGGTGCTACCTGGGCCCAGCTTCTTTACCAGGGATTTCCCCAGTTCATACTGCCTTTGTTCTACAACTTTCTTTCCTTAGGGCCCTATTTATCTGTGTAGCTTCAGGGGCCCGTGTGGGTTCTCCAGGGGTGGGAGCCACAGACAAATGCACACCACCCTCTGAGCCTCTGTCCTCAGTAAACCGCAAGGCAGGTTGCCTCTAGATGCTGTCAGTCTGGAACAGAGCTCAGTGCAGAGTGGTATTTGCAGAGCAGCTGCTCCCCTGCCCCCCCCATGGAGCCCAATACCTGTCCCCGCGTTACCTCGGTGCCATCAGCTAACACTGGCTAAGAAGTGGTTCTAGTTGCTGCCATATGCCACTCCTGGAAGCCAGAAGGGCGTGCTTTATCAGCTGCTACCCTGCTGTCCTCCGCCACCTTCAAGCTCCTCGGGTCACTGAACGTTGATGAAGCACCTGCAGTGTTTGGGACAGACCATCTTTAGCACTGAGAGCAGCTGACATTTCTTGAGGTCATGTTTCCGAGGTGCCAGGCAGGGACTAAGTTTTTTTTTTTTTTTTTTTCCCATGAGTAATCCTATTAACTGCTCAGAATTACTCCCACGGGGTTTCTGAGCCTCAGCGCTAATTGACATTTTGGGCTGGAGACATCTTTGTTGTGAGGGGCTCTCCTGACCTTTGTAGGCTGTTTGGGGTGGGGTGGGGTGGCATCCCTGGCCACCACCCACTGGGTGCCAGGAGCAGTGCCCAAGTCAACGGTGAGCAAAAGTGTCCCTGGCAACTACCAGGTGTTCCCTGGGCGGTGTCTCCCCGCTCCTCCCCGCCCCTATTGAGAGCCACCCATCCGTTTTTAGAGATCAAAGTGCAGAAAGGTCGAGAGAGTTGGTAGCATCCGGGGGCCAGTACAAGGAGACCCAGGCCCTGACTGTGGGCATGCTTCACTCCCATTCCGGAGCCTCCCTTCAGCATGTTGGCCACCCTCACCGGACATCGGGGACCGCACCGTGGTGTAACCGCTTCTCTCCTGCTGGGGGAGGTGGCTCAGGGCAGGAGACCTTGTTCCTGGGTCTGCAGCCCGCTGCCCCCGGCCTCTGTAGGCTGCTTCCAGAAAGTGACCTTCTCTTCCTCTTCCCTCGGCTCACGTTTAGGATGCTGAAATCGACGTGTTTCGCGATGTCACTTTCTACATTTACTTTTCCCTCGTGCTGATGCAGCTCGTGCTGTCCTGCTTCTCAGACCGACCACCCCTGTTCTCTGAAACCATCCACGACCCCGTAAGTGTGGTCAGAGACATGTGCGTGTGTGTGCGCGTGTGAGGAAAAATACTGCCCTGCGCCAGCTCATGTGGATTAGCTCTCTGTTTCGGGCCAGCGTTGTCTGTCTGGGATCTCATTTCATCTTCCCCAAAGGCGCAGAGAGAGGGTGTATCATCGTCCCACTCTACTGATGGAAAAACAGAGCCTAGCTGTGGCTAGGGGCACTTAATGATTGATAATTGAATAATTAATAATTGTCGATTTATAATAACAATTCATAATAATTCATAATCTAGTCATAATAATTCATAATCACTTATCTGATTCATAATTGTAAACAGCTGTGTCTTGCAGGCTGGTAGGTTTTCTCATTTGGTTTCCATAGTGACTTTAGAACATGTGAGCAAACATTTAAAAGCTGGAAAATTTGTCAGAAATTCTAACTGTGCGGTTTTTCTAGAAAAATGAGGAGTTCTGGCAGTATTAGGACCACTATTCCCCACAGCAGCAGTTGACCTCAGCTGGGAGACGTGTAGCCCTACCTTACCACAATCCCCACCACTCCCTTTTGCATTATATAGTCTTGCTTCCTTTTACGGTCTGTGCCTGGCCCCTGAGGGGATTTGAGTTGGTCTGTCCTGTGAGTTTGAGGCACAGGGAAATCCGTTATGTACCTGCGGATATGAGCGGGATGGTGGCGGTAGGGCCAGTCTTCCTGCTGGTAGAATAAAAGGGAACGTAGTCCTTGGCTGCTCCTACCTCTGTTCTTGCTCTGTTTCCCTCTTTTCCTTCCTCTCCACCCAGTGCCCCGTTCCAGGTTGGGCGCAGGGCTCTGGCAGTGAGTAAAGCAGTTCTTGCCCACCTGAGGCCTGTGTTGTTATGGGGGTGAGTTAGGAGATGGTGGACAAGGAGTAACCCAGGAGCCAAGTATTGTCGGTCAGGTGGCAGTAAATCCTAAGAAGGAGAAGAAAGCATGGACAGGAAATGGATATGTTGTTTGAAGGTCATGGGCAGTTTTGATGTGATAGGAGCCATCAAAGGAGGCCTCCCTCATGAAACCTCTCTGGAGCGAGGGCTCGAGCCGAGCACATGCCCAGAGGAAGAGTGGTCCAGGCAAAGGGGTGGCAAGTGCACAGGCCCTGGGGCAGGAGCTGCTGTGAAATGTCAAGGGAGCAGCAGGAGAGGCCAGTGTGGCTGGAGCAGCGAGAGGCCAGACACGGCTAAGACAAGGCATCCCACAGGTGGGGACAGTGGCCTGTAGTCACATGAGCCATTGGATTTTGTTCTGAGTGGGAGGGGAGACTTTGGAGCATTTATTTGATGCTTTGTTCATGGTTAGTCAACTGTTAACTGGGCAAATTGCAGCCAGAGCAGTTTTCAGCTGCTGTGGCTCCTCTGGGCTTGGCCTGCACCTCAGCAAGGGGCTGAGGCTGCCTTCGTGGGTGATGGAGGCACCTGTGGGGAGTCTGCTCGGAGGAGGTTGACCCTTGCCACCGTGTTTGTTAGAAACCCGTGTCCCGGTGTGTGTTCCGAGAGGCCCCATTCTTGGACTTCCCTGATCGAAGAGGAGCAGTGCTGGAGAAATGTGCAGTGTGTGTGTGTGTGCATGCATGTTGGTGCGTCTACATGTGACACATTTGTGTTCGTCTGCATGAAAATATGTGGGTGCATGTGTGTGTTCATGTGTTCTTACACGTGTGTGCATGTGTTCTTGTACATGTGTATAAAGTTATTGAGGGCAGCAGCCATGCCTGGGACACCCACTGGATCCCAGCTCACGCCTGGCACGAAGGAGAGGCTCAGAGGGCTATGGCTGTCAGGTCTCCCGGGCCAAGTGTTCGTGTGTGGGTGTGGATGTTTGGCCATGGCGTGTCCCCGTCAGGAAACTTTGATTAGATGTCAGGCCGTGCTGTGGAGCTGGTGGGCACACAGAACAAGTCATACCCGCCTGAGTGGCCACAGACCCTGCTCTGCTTGGAGGGTAAACTGAGTCCCGGACAAGCTGGCAGGGTGACCCGAATCTTACCTGGGCTCCCAGACTCCCTGTAACACCTGAGATTCCTCCTTCCTGAAGGGACTGTCTCACATGCCCTGGGCAGGGGGAAGGAGTTTCTGATTTCCAGTTCCCCCTAGGGATTTGGATAAAGCTCCTTTTGCTTCTTTCCTGGGTGCTCGCAGAGCTGGCTTCCTCCTCCTGTTGTACTGTCTGCGTTCCCAGCAGCCAGGGCCGCTTCACCACACCAGGGCAGCTGGAGGCTGGGCTGCAGGGGGCTGGGACACCCCGATTCTTGTCCCCTGCCATTCTTTTTTTTTTTTAATTAGGAATGGAAGCTTAGAGAAGATGATTGGGACTGTTAGATACTAACTTACATCCTGAGTCTGATGGGGGCAGCGACAGGTGTCACGGAAGAGGAGCCTCTGGTTGGAGTTGGGTAGATCCGGGGCTTCCTCTAGCCCTTCAGCATTCATTAAGCATCTGTCGTAACCTCTCCATGGTTCTGGGGACACAGCAGGGTGTGCAGTTGACGTGGTTCGTGCATCACTACGGTTATCCGCTACCCCGTAACAAAGCACCTTGAATTTGGTTCCATAAAACAAAAGGAGTTTATCCTTAGGTTTCTTCATCCTGGGCATTGCCCAGGCTCAACTGGGCAGCAACCCTGCGGGGTCTCCCCAACAATAGCCAACCTCGCTCATGTGTCTGGTGGTTAGCGCTGGCCCCGAGCCCGAACCTCTGATGGAGTCTGACAGTCCACATCTTCATGGCCTGGGTGACATCACAGTGTGGCGGCGCGCGTCTAAGAACAAGTGTTCCTAGACAGAGAGCTGGGTGGAAGCTGTGTCACCACTTATGACCAAGTCCCAGCACCCCATGGTGTCACTCCTGCCACACTCTCTCGATGGAGGCCATCCCAAAAGTCGGCTTGAGTTTGAGGGGTGGGGACATAACCCACACCTCTAGGTGGGGGCAAGGTCATAATAAGAGCTTGTGGGGTGGCTGATGATGTCTGGCCGTAATTTGGAGCACAGTTTATGGGGTAACCTCAGGAAGCTTGCGGCCTCACAAGGGACAGTCATCGATGGGGTGAGCAAACAGCTGTGCAACTCCAGTCGTGAAGAAGCCTGGGAAGCCTGAGAATCGGGGTGTAGGACTTAGATTTGTAACCTCAGGCAAGTCCCTCCTCCTTCCAGAACCTCAGTGCTGCCTTCTTGAAATGGGTCAAGGCTCCATGTGGTGCTTTCGGCAGCCCCTTCCCCCAGGGACCTGAGACCTGTGATGAGGAGAGGAGCACACTGTTAGGTGCTTTCTCTGCCTATCTCCCCTTCATCATCAGGGCTTGCTTCAGAGATGAAGAGAATCTGGCCCCAGCTGCCCTCCTGAGGTCAGAGCCTTGGTCATAGGTTGCTTATTCTTGGAGGTGGCAGTCAGCTGTGCTCCCGGAGTGGCCTGGGTCAGGCAGGGTCTGTGGGAGGGGGAGCTGACAGCACTGGGCTTCTCTGGGCTCTCTCCAGCTGAGTCACGAAGCCAGTGTCCGCCCCAGCTGGCCCTCTGCCATTTGCATGACTCAGACATCTGTTCTGGTCTTGGTTTTTTGGTGGGGCTGCTCCCCTCTCTCCTCCAGGCCTGCAGCTGCCTAGAATCTGGGAGCGGCTGACCAAGCCTTACAGGCTCTCCTGGGGTTCCTGTCTGGCTCCAGCCTATGATCCTTCGGCTTGCAGGCCCGGAGGCTCCTGCTTAGGGTGGAGTGGGAGGGAGGGAGGAGGTGTTTCCATTTGCGCTTGGAGACATCAAGGGCAAACGTGGTCAGTAGCATAAACTCCCACTTCTCAGAGCGGGATCATTGGACCAGCTGTATCAGCGTTCCCCAGGTGCTGTTAGAAATGCAGTGTCTTCAGGGCACCTGGGTGGCTCAGTGGGTTAAGCCTCTGCCTTCGGCTCAGGTCATGATCTCAGGGTCCTGCGATCAAGCCCCGCATCGGGTTCTCTGCTCTGTGGGGAGCCTGCTTCCCCCTCTCTCTCTGCCTGCCTCTCTGCCTACTTCTGATCTCTGTCGAATAGATAAATAAAATCTTAAAAAAAAAAAAAAAAGAAATGCAGTGTCTTGGCCAGCTGAGCCCTGCTGTATCAGAGTCTCACTTTAATAAGATCCACGGGTTGAAAAGCATTGGTTTAGCACATTTAGGAAAATCCCTTTGCTCATATGTTGTAAGAGGTATTTTTAGCCCTGTCCATAAATAAGGAATATAACCCCCCGCAACCAGTATTTTGCTGTGAATACGTCAAACTTGCAGAAAAGTTGAAAGAATGACACAGCGAGTACCCATCTACTCACCAGTCTGCTTTCACAGTTAACATTTTGGGAACCTTGCTTCATCACGGATCCGGCTGGCCAGCCAACCAGCCAGCCAACTGCCTGATTTTTTTTTTTTTTTTTTTTTTTTTGGTAGCTGAAACTTAACTTGGAAATTCTTGGTATCCTTCCCCCAAACACTTGGCCATGCCAAGAGTTCCGTATCTGTTTAACATTTCTGTTTTATTTTCTTAAAGCAGAATTTATATAGTGAAACTGCTGAATCTGACGTGACTGTTTGATGTCTGCTGACAAAAGAGTACCCCAAGTCCCTATTAAGATCTAGAACATTACCAGGACCCCAGAAAGTTTCCTGCTGCCCCTCCTGGTCTGTCTCTGCCCTGCACACCCCAGAAGCAGCCGCGGAGCTTGGACTATTTATGAAAGCATCGTAAACCCGGTGTCAAAGGCTTTTCCCCCTTCTGCTGTTGGTCGTTAGTAGTTCCATGTTGTGCGAGACCCAGGGGTGGGGGGTGGGGCTTGGTGCTTAGCCAGACTCTGAGAACGGAAATGAACAAACTTGACCATCGAGGAGAGGGCAGTGGGCAGATAAACCAACAGCTCTAGGCTGGCCAGTGGGCTCTGAGGCTAGGCACGTGCTGGGGGTGCAGGGGCCCGGTGGAGAGGTTCCCAGCTCAGCCTGGGGCTCCAAGGCTAGCATCCAGC